CACAGTTAAATTGTCGTAGCATGTGATCAATAAAATATCACTCGACTATCTCATAAAGTATCAATGAGACCGTCAACATTTAAAGGTTCGAACTAAGACATGTTTTAGCTGGAATACACGATTTAATAGCATCATCATTGTACGATATTCACAAGAACTATAATTTTTTTAAAAACTAAGTTAGATAATCTTGAATTAAAAATGATTATTTAATTAAAAATAAAATCAATTACAATTATTACTTCGTCTATCATCTTATCTATCAACGATCTAAAATCACATATATTTTTTGGTATATGAGTGTGAATTAGTGTACAGTTTAAATATTATTCATTTAACGAAATATAATTATTTTTGTAAAACTTTAAAAACGTATAATAATCTAAATATATAGACCTAGTTTATTTTAAATTACCTCCGAATTAGTTGAAATTGAAATGGGGTCGATTCTTTTAAAACCGGGCATAAAAACAAAATTCGGAACCAAACCCATGATTGCAACAACATTAGACACCCTCTAATAACTTGTTTGTCCGGATTGATGACTTTACAAAGATCCCGGAATAGAAATGGCAACACTATCGATCTTCAACTCTTATTTTTAGAGTCCTGCAAAATGCATAGATGATACACCGCATTGGATACACTTTGTTTCGGGATTTATCCAGCATCAAGATCCCCTTAATAACTCGTAAAATATGAGTATGAGCAAATCACCGCAAAATAAAAATCATAAACTAAAAAATTATCGTAAAAATTTATAATAACATAAAATAAAAGTTCAAAATTATAAATAAAAAATAAAAATAATTAATCATAAATTTCAAAAATTATCTCCTTAATTACTGGAGCAACATTGGGGTAGCTGCAAAATTGTCGTCAAAAAATTTAATCTTGGTCTTCCCTTCATCCAAATAGCTATCGTTCGGAGGAATTCTGAGTAGTTCTTCACACAAGTCGTATCAGTAGTCCCGATAATAGTTGTTCTGTCAACATGCAACCCAAGATGGAATGCAATATCTTAAAGGTTAATAGTCGCATCCCCATAAGGAAAATAAAATGTGTGTCCCATGTCTCCACCTTTCTAGAAATGCATTTATCAGTAATGTTGCAACTTGGTACCACTAATTATACTGCTAACGTAAACAAAATTGAGTTCGTGCAAATACGGAATAAAATCATCCTGAGGTGATGTGAAACGGTTGATATAACAAGTCAACGAACATTCATACCCATTTAAATAAAAATTTTAAAAATTAATTAATTGAATAAAAAATTACTTCTGAATTTTTGTGTCAATAATCGAACACATACCTTTAATCAAGTCTCAGTAATCCACCATAAAACAAATAATCATATTTTTAAAGTAATAAATAAATTTCTTAAGAGGAATAAACAAATAGAATTGGGTGTGAGTATTTTGGGTAGAGCCAATTTAGGAGTCATCGCACCCGTTACTAAGTGAGATTAATAGGACATCGTATGATGCAAGGTGCGAGGTCGGTTGAAAAGACACGTTCTAATCTCGCGCTCTATAGGATGCGAGATTTCGGAATCTAATTTCAAATTTTAAACGCGATAAATTGGTACAACGATTCAATTTCTCGTGAACCTCATATTTTATAAGACGTGAGATCGTTTAACCTAGTCATACTTTGAATTCTCTTAAAAGTGTTTTCACGTTGGAGGAGGCTTGCACCCTATAGAACGCGAAATCTTTACATGCTATTGTAGGACACGAGGTAATCTTACATGTAAGGATGGTAACGGGTCGGGTTTTTGGTCAACCCACCCGACCTAAAAATATGTATTCTCTACTCGAACCCAACCAAAAAAATATGTATATCCTCTACGTGACTCCGATACTATCTGAATTTTTAGAGTATAAATCCAATTCGGCCCGATATAAAATAATGATTTAATAAAAAAAATAATTTTTCAAGGAAATTACATTATATCATCGGTTCGGGTCGAAGTTTTTTCACCCTCTACTCGACCTGACCTGACTCGACCTTGCCCCCTTAAAAATCTGACTTGACCCGACTCAATAAGACACGAATTCTAAACTTTTTTTTATATAAAAATCCGATTCTATTAAATCGAATTGGGTCGGATTCGGATTAAATTGACATATTACATGTGTAATTTAAGGAGTATTTTTTAATTAATAATGTTTGAGAGCTATTTGTCTAATAAATGATTTTTTTCTTTGGTGTGTTTAAAAACGCCAAATTATTGGGAGTATATTCGCTATTTTCAGTGCCCATTCTCCAATACAACAAAAATGCTTTCGGGTTCTGGGTTATACACCCCTACTCTATCTACACATTCTTAACAGTTAACATTACTACTAGCGTTAACTACATAGATGATCACTTATGTTTGTATTTTGTTTACTTTTGATCACTGATTTAAAAAAATATAAGATATTGTCACTTTCATTTTTATTTAATTAAGATATGATCAATTTCATTTTTATTTAAGTAAGATTTGATCACCCGAGTTAACTGTTGTTAACAACAATTAAATATTTTTGATATAATTATACATTTGGTCCCTGGTATTTATATATTCTCTCAATTTAGTCATAATTTTAATAAATTAAAATAAATTATATATTTTTAGATGAAAATAAAAATAAAATGTTTTTAATTAAGTTCATAATAAAATATATTTAATAATTTAATATAAATATTTTTAATTTAATATATATAAAATTATATATATAATCCAGGTCACGGGTACCTAGTTCATAATTTTTTTTATTTTTTCTTTAAATTATTGTTTTTAACAAAATTATATATAAAAATTTAAAATTTAAAAGTCTATAATACATATAATCTACACATAAATTTTAAAAATTCAAACTACATAATTGAAATAAAATTTATTAAAAATTAAAATAAATAAATATAATTAAATTTTAAATGTTTTGAAGTTAAAATAAATATTTTAAAAAACAATTTAGAACATTATTGTGAAATAATTTAATAAATTAAGAATTTAGAACATTATGGTGTCAAAATTTAAAAAATTAGGATTTTAGAATGTTATAGTGAAATAATTTGAGAATTATGGATAAAAAATTTAATATATATATATAAATTAAATCGGGTATCGGGTCAACGATTACCCGGTTAACCAACATTTTGTGACCCAGGCCCAACCTAAAAACTTAAAAAAATAGCAGGTCAGGTACCCGACCCGAAAAATAGGGTATTTTTATTATAAATACCCAATATTTTTTAAATTGACAGTGGGTTAACAGGTCGGGTCAATCGGATCGAGTATTTTTGAACACCCCTATGTGAATGACATGTGTCATCATTCGATTGAAGAATTAAATTTATTTTAATTTATTAAAAGTATGATTAAATTGAGAGAATATGTAAATAATAGGGACTAAACATGTGATTATATCAAAATATTTAACTGTTGTTAACGACAATTAACTCGGGGTGATCATATCTTAATTAAATAAAAACGAGTGATCATATCTTATGTTTTTTGAAATCAGTGACCAAAAGTGGACAAAACATAAACATAAGTGACAATCTATATAGTTAACCCTTACTATTATTATCATTATCAGTATTAGGGTAAACTACAATTTAATACCAAACTTTACTTTTGTTCCATTTTAGTACTTAATCTTTATTTTTTTCAAAATCATAACTAACATTTAGTTTAAATTTTATGCATCAAATTAATAGACTATTAATTTATTAATAATATATACATATTTTACGTAGACAATTGTTTCGAACTTAAAAACTTTTAAAAAATAGCATTCTTATTTATTATTAAAACCACCTATTAAATTCATTTGTAGAATATTTTTAAAAAGTTAGGTTTAAATACCTCATTTTAATTTTGAAAATTTAAGCCGAAAACCAACAAAGGGGATGACAAGGCAAGCACGTGACCTGTCAAGAAAATTGTCTGCAAATAAAATATATTTTTCTGCCCATAGATGTTATATGGTTCGCTTTCTTACCACAGTTGAGAGTTATATGGTGCAACCCGCTAAAATAGACGCTATCGATTTTATTATTGTTTAAATAATAAAATTAATAAAAAAATTATTTATAAAATTATTATTTTTACCTAATATATAATTTTTTAAAATATTTTCGATCAATTTTTAGAGCATAATAATATTTTCGATCATTTTAACACATAATAATGTTTCTAGTCATTTTTTTACCAATTTTATTATTTAAACAATAATAAAATTGGTAACATTTTTTTAACCGTATATTAAGATATATTTTTTTCAAAATTTGAGTTGAGTTTAAATTTTATTAATATAAAATATTTAAAAATTGATATATTCAATTGTGAAATTATTTTATTTTGATCTTAAATAAATAATTTAATTATTTTATAATTTAATCTTAATTTTCTAATCTTCAATTTCTTTTTTACTTTAAATTTAAAAAATGTTTAATTTTTATATTTTATTCAATGTAATTATTTGATTATAATTTTTTTGAAATTATTTCTTATTGTTAATTCTATGATTCTTTTATATTTTTCTCATGCTGTCATTGAAATATATTTTTTAAAAATAATATTATACATATATTTTATAGTTTTAAATAATATTTAATTTATTAAAAAAATTAATCTAACTTATAAAAAATATAAAAATTATATATGTATATCTTATATTTATTTAAATTGCAATGAATTCTTACTCTAATATCATAAATAATTATAATTAAATTCAAATTAAAAATATAAAAACTCAACTTAATATTTTCTAGATCGACTGTCAAATACTACTGAAAAAACCAAGATTCATACACCTTTTTTGCAGTTCAAATAAACTTTTTCATTTTTACTGTTCCGAAAAGAAAAGAGAAAGGAAAATAAGAAACTTGAAAAGACAGTGTTTTCTACTACGGTGTCTGCTGCATCTGTTTATGTGTCAACTTTGGCCTTTTTTGTTTTGGTCTCTGTTTGTTTGGTTCTTTCTTTCTTTGATTTTACTTTTTGTTTTAAGTTTTAATGAGAAATTAAAAAGGTGAAAGCAATAGAAAAAAGGGTTTGCTGAAAGATAATGGTGGTGGAATCATTTGTAAAGAGCAAGGGAGAACTAGAAACCAAGAGCAAAACCACATGGAATTTGTGGGGATCATTCAAAATATTCAGTAATCAAATACCAGTATTCTCAGATCTCTAGGATCTGAGAAATTCAGGAAAACGATGGTTGCTTGTTTCTCGAGAAAATTCTCTCTTTTTCACTAGCTCTTTGTCTTACCTCATTTGGTGCTAATTCTACTACTTACCCTTTGATTCGTATTCTCCCGGACTTAACTCATTCCCCAGAGAAAAGTCTTGCTAGCAATCTGGGTGTTAATCAAGAACCAGTTTTGGGAAACTTTCATTTGAAGTGAAAAGGTTGGAAAAAAGAAAGTTGCTTTGAAGGGTAATGGTGGGTTCAGCTTCTGTGGTTCTGATTACGAAAGTGACATAACAGCTTGTGCTTGGATAAAGCAAAGATAGACACTTCAGCTTCATGTGAATGAATGAATGATGGCTGGTCGTGGTTTTGTTGATCAAAAGAAAGTAAAGTTTGAATGAGCTGAGTGACTCTGGTTTTTAGCAGTGTGGAAATGAAGAATTTGATGTTGTTTAAACTGAGCTCACTGTTTTTGGCAATGATGGAGATTTCTTCTGCTACTCTTTCTCCAGCTGGTATAAACTATGAAGGTTAGTTTTTTGTCTCAAAATTTTTCCTTTCTGCATCCAATTCACTACCAAAAAAGTTATAAGCTTATAAACTTTGAAACTTCGGGCTTGTTTTTGTTGTTTATCCAGCAGAGTTTTGAATTCGTTAATCACTGTATGTTCTTCTCGTAGTATTTATTGTTTCCACTTTCCAACTTCATAGATTCTATTTGTTTTTTTCAAGAATAAATGCTCTGTCTGTCTGAACAGTTACCATCATAATTACGTAGTGACACACATATTTGCCCTTTTTTTTCCAAGTCTTTTCTTCAAGAATGGAATGTTAATTCATTTATTTTCCTTGTGCATGTATGATGAAATTTTGAGCAGTGGTTGCTTTAATGACCATTAAATCATATCTAAACGACCCATATAATGTTCTGGAGAATTGGGATTCAAATTCTGTTGATCCATGTAGTTGGAGGATGGTTACTTGCTCTCCAGATGGCTATGTTTCTGCTTTGTAACTTCTCTTCTTCCTCTCCATATCTGGCCTATTTATAATAGACATTGGTATAGGAAAATAAACCCAGTATTTGTGTAAACTCTTTGCTTTTCTACCTTGACCAGGGGACTTCCTAGTCAAAACTTGTCTGGGACTTTATCCCCATTGATTGGGAATCTTAGTGAGCTGCAATCAGTGTAAGTTAATTGCCTTTGTTGACTAAGTTGCATATAAATTTATCCTTACATTTTTTATAAGTGATTACTTGTTTGTTCCTTTTTCATGCATAGGTTGCTTCAGAATAATGATATTTCAGGTCCGATTCCGCCTACCATTGGGAAGTTAGAGAAGCTGCAGACTCTTGATTTCTCCAACAATACTTTCAGCGGCGAAATACCGACTTCCTTTGGAGACTTGAAAAACCTCAACTATTTGTAAGTGTCCATTTTTTTCTGCTTTTGCATCATCTTCATCTGCTTACATGTACCTTTCCTTGTTCTTGCTGGACGTATCAGATGGTTAAACAATAATAGTCTTACCGGACCCTGCCCGGATTCTTTGTCAAAAATTGGAGGTCTTACTCTTGTGTATGTATCTGGACTCGTTTCATTTTGATGTCTTGCAATTTTTAATGCCTTAGATTTACCTTGTTACTATTCTGTCTGTATGTTATTTCACTCGCCCATCGCCTATGAAAAAACGTTTTTATAGGGACCTGTCTTATAATAATCTGAGTGGTTCCCTACCAAAAATATCAGCAAGGACTTTCAAGTGAGCTATTTCTTTCCCTTATTCTGTTAAATGGTTATAATGTATGTAACAGTGGTTTATTAATCATAGTTTCCTTCCTTTTCCTTTCAGAGTTATAGGTAACCCTTTAATTTGTGGGCCTAAAACGGGCAACAACTGTTCTGCCGTCTTTCCGGAGCCTCTTCTTCTCCCACCAGATGGTCCAAAAGGTGACTATCACTGTGCTATAGATGCAGTTTCTTGTCAATCACATGAGATGTCTCTTCTGCATTACAGTTTAATTCATGTCTGAATATCTGGATCCTTGATTTCTTAGCTCAATCAGACTCTGGATCAAAAGGCCATCTTGTAGCTGTTGCTTTTGGTGCTAGCTTTGGTGCTCTTTTTTTCATCGTACTGTTTATCGGGTTTCTTGTTTGGTGGCGATATAGACACAACCAGCAGATTTTCTTTGATGTACATGGTCAGCTTCTTAAAATTCCCTGATCTTGTTGTACTATCCGTGATTCAGTATAATTGTATAAATCTTTATGAATCTATAATATTTCAAAACTCATTATGAGCAAGGGCGCTCCTAATTCACATGTAGTACTGCTGCCTGGAAACTGTCATTGCTGCTACGCTATCGATACGGCATCTGTTTTTAGGAGCTCTAGATGATGCTATGGTTTTCGATAGACGACGTTAAAGGGAACATAATTTGTTTCCTTTCTTTTCTTTCCCTAGTACCCTCTAATTACTGGCACATACATGTTGCATGGCAGAACAATACGACCCGGAAGTATGCTTGGGACATTTGAAAAGTTATACTTTTAAGGAACTGAGGGTGGCGACCGACCATTTCAACTCGAAGAATGTTCTTGGCAGAGGTGGATTTGGAATAGTGTACAAGGGTTGCTTGAATGATGGGACTGTGGTGGCTGTTAAAAGGCTGAAGGACTATAACATAGCTGGTGGTGAAATCCAATTTCAGACCAAAGTAGAGACGATAAGTTTAGCTGTCCATCGTAATCTTCTCAGGCTTTCCGGATTCTGCACGACCGAGAACGAAAGGCTTCTGGTCTACCCCTATATGCCGAATGGCAGTGTAATGTCTAGATTAAAAGGTTAGTTTACTGAAGTTCAATGGTCTTTAATTCCTATATAACAACATGATCATCCTAGTTGTCTTTAATTACTATTTGAAGCGATAAATCTTATTCGAATTTCGCATCTACACCTTATGGATAACTTTTCAAGTTCGCGGTTTGTTTAGATCATATTCATGGTAGGCCAGCTTTAGACTGGGCAAGGCGGAAGAGGATAGCCTTAGGTACGGCTAGGGGGCTTGTATATTTGCATGAACAGTGTGACCCAAAAATCATTCATCGCGATGTCAAAGCTGCCAACATTTTGTTGGATGAAGACTTCGAGGCGGTTGTTGGAGATTTTGGATTGGCAAAGCTTTTAGATCACCAAGATTCTCATGTTACTACAACGGTTCGTGGTACTGTTGGTCACATCGCTCCCGAATATTTATCAACAGGTCAGTCATCTGAGAAGACAGACGTATTTGGGTTTGGGATCCTGCTCCTTGAGCTAATCACAGGTAAGAAGGCCCTGGATTTCGGACGAGAGTTGAACGAGAAGCACGTAATGCTTGATTGGGTACTCTCTCTTTCTCTCCATTTTAACGTACACTTTAAGTAACCATCACAAAAGTCTCATATTTGGTTAACTTTTCTTGCAGGTAAAGAAGCTACATCATGAAGGTAAACTAAGCCTGCTGGTGGATAAGGATCTAAAAGGCAACTTTGACAGAATTGAGTTAGAAGAAACGATTCAAATTGCTCTTCTATGCACTCAATTCAACCCTCTGCACCGTCCGAGGATGTCTGAAGTATTAAGGATGCTAGAAGGTGACCGTCTGGTCGACAAATGGGAGGCCTCGCAAACGATCGAGACACCTAGGTCCCGATCGTGCGATAACCCTCCTCTACAAAGATACTCCGATTTCCTGGATGAATCTTCGTTCGTGGTGGAAGCCATGGAGCTTTCCGGTCCGAGGTAATGAATGTCGGGTTTGAACTTCGGTGACTTCTCAATTGAAGCGCTATGAATTGGAAAAAAGGAACGATTGAGTTGAAATGTTGATAGTTAACTGCTTGTATTCATATGTAAAAAGAAAAAAGAAACAAATGAAAGGCTATTGTTCTTTAATATGTTCTTTACACGGCTTGAGATTTTACATAATTTATTTATTAGTAAAATTATAATTTATGTAAAAGAAAACATTTAGTCTAAAGTATAAAAATTAATAATTAAACTATGATATGAATAATTTGAGATTACTTACTTATTTACTAGTTTTCTGAAATACAATTTAAATTATTTTTTATTCTTTTTTTTTTGGTAAATTAAGAAATCAAACAATACGACTAAACGCCTCCTTCCTCCTGGAGCAGATCAAGGACTGCCTCCAGTGGTGTGACGAACGGTTTTATTCCTCCATCTCCATCTCTGGCCAGTCTTGCCATACAATCGGTTATCCTGTTTCCTTCTCGATAAATGTGTTCGAATTTGACCTCACAATCTCTCTTTAATAGGCTTTCTATGTGATGATGCAAAGTGGTAGTTCTATTTCTATCGTTATCTTGTTGGAATAGGTTCCTTACCTCCAAGCTATCAGTTTCAAGGATTACCTTCTGAGCGCCCATATTCCAAGCCCTATGTAAGCCTTCATATACTCCCCATAGCCCCGCTTCTAGAATCGAGCATCAACCAATGTGTTTTAAAAATCCGAGCATCCATCGTCCTTCCTCATTGCGTATCACTCCCCCGCAATTTGCGTTACCATCGTGTGTTTTCCTGGAGCCATCAGTATTGAGCTTTAACCAACCTTCGGGGGGTTTATTCCATCTGGTCATCACCCGTGTTGCTGCATCGGCTATCACCTTTGTGGAACTTGTCGACACATATTTTTTCGTCTCTATGGCATTTACATTTGCATTTGTGTTATTATTTATAATATATGGTTTATGTGTATACATATCATATTATTTTTTTTATAATTACACTTGATTTACAGGTTACAGGCCCAATTGGTGCCCACAAATCCACATGTGGTTCAACATGCCAAACCCAAGTCACGCGCCCAACGCGTAGGATTTCCAGAAACCCTAGCAAGCCTTCACTCCATCAGCGCCGCATGGTGCATCCAGCTCTCCCTCACTCGTCTCTCCACAAGCGCCACAGTCCCCACTTGGCACGCCGCTTGTCACGCAACGAACCCACTTTTCTCGGCCTCCAACTTACGTGAATGTGTAGGACACCAACTGCTCAACATAGCCCGGTTCTCTCGGCCACAAGCAACGATCGTGGATGTCAAACAAATAAGAGTAGTTGAGTTTGATTAGGACTCAAGCTAGACCAAAAAATAGGCATGCATTTTTGTATAAATAGGCATGTAATCAACAGTATTAGGGGGATTTTTTTTTTGATACGAAATTTCGAGCAAAGTTATACCAATATTCAAAGCAATCCAAGTAGTTTTATTGAAAACTTCGAAGGCTACAGAGGTAAAAACCTTACTTTTTTTTTGTTTGATACGCTTGCATGTGGGAGTTGTTCGTGTTTTGTTTCCGTTTTGTGCTCGTTCCAAACCTCAAATACGCTAATAAAGCCGATGAACAGGGGTATAGGTCGGGATTTTCGAACCCAGATCTGGCCCCGAGGCTTACTTTTTAAAGAAACGATTTTGGTTTTTTTGAAACGAGGAGGTGAAGGGCTTTCGAAAAAATAAAATTTTAGGGTTTACCGCCGATGAACGACAGCCGACACCGTTTAACGGCGGCCGGCGAGGCGGCGCGGGGTGGCCCTTGGTCGATTTCTGGATTTCAGCGGTGGCCGTGTTCTTCAAATGAAGAACACGGTTGAATAAACGAGAGAAACTTCAGAGAGGGGAGGGGAGCTTTTGATTGTGAGGAGAGAAATGAAACAGAAAAAATATGTTTGAGTCATATATTAACCCGTTCCAGCTTATGCCCGACCCGATGAACCTCGAACCCGCGTGTTTTTTCAAGAAGCGAGAGATTTGCGTTTTGGTTCTCCAGTTTCAAAAACATTTAATTTGGTCCTCTGAATCGATTATTGAACACGAAATCCTTGTAAATTGACCCTCGAGTTTATTTCGTTTTCAATTTAGTCCCTACTATTATTATATACTATTTTCATTATTATTATATTTTATTCCTTTATTATTATATATATATATATATTTTATGTATATTTTATTTATTTTATTATACATATATATATACATATAATCATCGTTATTTTTATTATTTTAAGTATCATTGATAGCGTATATAAACACATATTTTTTTTCCTTTTATTATTATCTGTATATTTATTTCTATTCATTTGTTTTATTTAATAATATATTTGTTATTTATATATAGTTTTCGTGTTTTTTAACATCATTATCATTTTCATTTTATTCTACTTTATATTTTTTAGTTTATTTTCATTATTCCTTTTTATTTTATACGTACATATTTGATTATAGTTATTTATTTATTTTAGTTTTTTTTAGTTTTTATTTATTTATTACTATTATATATATCTTTTTATTTTTCCCATTATTTATATCTTTATCATTATCACCGTTATTCTTATTTATCATTTGTTTACTTATCTTCTATTTTATTTTTATTGTATTTCCTCTAATATTTTATATATTATATATATATATTATGTATACTTTATGTAATTTTATTATTATTTTTCTAATGTCTTATTTATATGCCATATTTTTTTTCCTTCTCTTTTACCTTACGTTTTTATGCTTGTCCTTATTTTTGTTTCATTCATGTTCTCTACCTTTATGTTAATTATGTTTATTATTTATTTTTGTCTATTTTGTTCTTTATTGCACTATCTTTATTTTTGATTTATTTTCACCACCATTTGTTAACGCTTCTCATGACTTTTTAAGGGTATACTTTTAAATCGAATCAGTGGTAAGCAATTTGGATCAATATTTTACCTTTTAATTTAACTTTCAATTTTCTTAATTAAAGACAACTGGAAATTACACAGTACCGAAAGGGCAGTTCAAGGGTGCTAGCCCTTCCTTGACTGTAACCGACTCCCGAATCCGACACATCTCTGGTAAGACGCAGATCAGGTAAGAAATAGGGTATCCGATCAACCCATTTATTTTTAAATAAATGATCGGTGGCGACTCCAATCCACATTTTTCAAGTCGAAGCCCAATTCCGGGGCCCAACCGGAAAGACGGTTGCGACAGCTTGGCGACTCCGCTGGGGACACAGGTATGTGAGTCAGGCTAAGGTAATTTCCAGTTGTCTTTCTAATGAAAAGGGTAAGTTTGAACGTTAAGGTAACATTTCGATCCTTATTACTTACTTTTGGTTATATTTTTTCGTGTAAATAGTTGGACTAACCGTTTTCTAATGATTTCAGTCTTCCAAACTTTTTCATCCAAAGGCTCTATACCCGAGCTCCGAACCCTTTAAGTGGGGGTGAAAGCGACGCATTCGTGTGAATTTATTCACCGCATATGCCTAGCAAGTAGCCTTCGGGATTCATATACCTTATGTCTTCGTGTGAATTTATTCTCCGCATAGACATAAGGGAATGTGTCCCCTCGAGTTTAACTTAGTCCACACAAGCCTGTGATGGGTTTAGGACTAAGGGTCTGGTAAGCCCAAGGGGGCACCAGCAAGGAGAACTCGGGTACCGTTTTTAGAACCTAAACCAGGAGACTTCGAAGAAATAGAGCCTACCCCAAAACCACATTCCAAAACTTAGGACAATTTTTTCCTAACCATTTGTTTTTTCTTATGTTTTTATTGCCATTTATTTCTTGTTATTTTTATTTATTTCCATTTATTTTTATTTTACTAACCATTTGCCTTTGTGTTTGTTTTTAGCATTTGCATCATAACAAGAGGCCATTGATCCCTAAAAAGACGTTCATTATGCACAAAATAATCTGAATTAATGGATAAAGGTGTTGTAATACAAGAGATTAAAAACCCTGAGGTACGACTATGGTCCGAGAAGACTCAGAAGGAAAAGGGAGACAGTCTTCAAGACAGCTATGTGTCAGAGCTGGTTAGCTACGCCTCGATCAGCCTAAAGCATAATGACATACAAGAGCTCCGGGACATCTGGGACAGTTGGAAGAATGAGGTGAAACAGAAGATCAGCCAACGATACGGTGATGTTGCACTTCTGCTTCATGTTAAGATTGATGAGCCCTTAATTAGAGCCTTGGTTCAATTCTGGAACCCGGGATACAGTTGCTTCACCTTTAACCGGGAAGACATGGTGCCTACCATAGAAGAATACACTACACTGCTGCATTGTGAAAACATCAAACTCGAGCGTGCCTACCTTAAGCACATTAAAAGTCAACTTTTCAAAAATGCACTAGCTAAGGTTGCCAGAGTTGATGAAAAATGGGTAACTGACCGAGCTCGATGTAAGGGTAGTGGAGAAGGAATCGCTTGGCTTCATATCAAACAACTAATGAAACACCACCCTGACGAGTGGAAGACAATAGACCTGTTTGCATTAGGTCTGTATGGTCTAATTTTATTCCCAAAGACCTTGGGATACATCGATGCCACCGTAGTGGAGCTATTCGAACAACTCTCGAGAAGAGTCAATCCAGCACCAGCCATCTTGGCTGAGACCTTTCGATCTCTCAATCATTGCCGAAGAACTGGCGGAGGAAGATTCACCGGGTGCATTCAGCTCCTTCAAGTCTGGATTCACAGCCACTTCTGGAAGACTGACGGGGTTGCCTACCGCCGTTTCAGCACCACCTATTCACCTCTAGGTGAATTTATTACCTTAAAATGGCATGAAGGCGCCTCGAAAGAAAAATGGATGAAGGTCTTTACGCATCTTCAAGACCGAGATATTGTTTGGAGAGCCCCTTGGTTATTCCTCAGTGATGTTCTTTTTCGATGTGGTGACTCCGACACTGTGACCTTACTTGGACTTTGGGGAGCAGTCGGGTATGCTCCGCTATTAGCACTTAGACAATATGGAGCACGTCAGCTTGTCCCAGCAACATGCGGGTTAGCTAGGTCAGA